TCCCCAGGAAGGCCGTGTACGGGGGGGACTTGGGCAGGCGGCTCCTGTCGATGTTGGGCTCGCGGGCGGCGCGCGGCGCCGTGGGCAGCAGCGAGCGGTCGATCGGCGGCGCCCGGTACACGTCGTCGTCGTTGCTGTGCCACGTGGTGGAGGCTGCGGGGGATGGAGGGACACGGCATGGGGGGGAGGGGGGGAGACTGGAGTCAGTCAGAGTCAACTGGAGTTAATCAGAGTCAACTGGAGTTAATCAGAGTCAACTGGGATCAACCAGAGTCAACTGGGATCAATCAGAGTCAACTGGGATCAACCAGAGTCAACTGGGGTTAATCAGAGTCAACTGGGGTTAATCAGAGTCAACTGGGGTTAATCAGAGTCAACTGGGATCAACCAGAGTCAACTGGAGTCAACCAGAGTCAACTGGGGTTAATCAGAGTCAACTGGGGTCAACCAGAGTCAACTGGAGTCAATCAGAGTCAACCAGAGTCAACTGGGGTCATGTGGAGTGACTGGGGTCAACCAGAGTCAACTGGAGCCAACCAGGTTAACTGGAGTCAACTGGAGTCAGTCAGAGTCAACTGGAGTCAACCAGAGTCAACTGTTGGGGTCATGTGGAGGTAACTGGGGTCAACCAGAGTCAACTGGGTCAACTGGAGCCTCATCCGCAGTCAACTGGAGTCCACAAGAGTCAAATGGGGTCAACCAGAGTCAATTGGAGCCAACCAGGTCAACTGGAGTCAACTGGAGTCAATCAGAGTCAACTGGGATCAACCAGAGTCAACTGGGGTTAATCAGAGTCAACTGGGATCAATCAGAGTCAACTGGAGCCAATCAGAGTCAACTGGAGTCAGAGTCAACTGGAGTCAATCAGAGTCAACCAGAGTAAACTGGGGTCATGTGGAGGTGACTGGGGTCAACCAGAGTCAACTGGGTCAACTGGAGTCATTCAGAGTCAACTGGAGTCAACAAGAGTCAAATGGGGTCAACCAGAGTCAATTGGAGCCAACCAGGTCAACTGGAGTCAATCAGAGTCAATTGGGATCAACCAGAGTCAACTGGGGTCAACAAGAGTCAAATGGGGTCAACTGGAGTCAATCAAAGTCAACTGGAGTCATCTGGAGGTGAGGGAGGTCAACCAGAGTCAAGTGGGGTCAATGAGAGTCAATTAGAGTCAACCAAGTCAACTGGAGTCATCTGGAGGTGAGGGGGGTCAACCAGAGTCAAGTGGGGTCAATCAGAGTCAAATGAAATTATCCAGAGTCAACTGAGTCAACTGGAGTCAATCGGAGTCAGCTGGAATCAACCAGAGTCAACTGGAATCAACCAGAGTCAACTGGAATCAACCAGAGTCAACTGGAGTCAATCAGAGTCACATGGGGTCATCTGGAGCCAACCAGAGTCAACTGGGCCATTTGGAGTCAACTGGAATCAACCAGAACAAACTGGGTTAATGGGGGTCAACCAGAGTCAACCGGAGTCATCTGGACCCAACCAGAGGCAACTGGAGTTGATAAGAGTCATCTGGGTCAACTGGAACCATTTGGGATCAACTGCAGTCAACTGGAGTCAGTCAGAGCCAACTGGAGTCAACTGGAGTCAGCCAGAGCCATCCGGAGTCACCAAATCATCCCCAAACCCAACTGGAGACATCCAGAGTCAACCAGAACCCACTGGAGGCTCCCAAAGGCAACTGGGTCAACCGGAGTCAACTGGAACCAACTGGGTCAACTGGAGTCAACCGAAACTAACTGGGTTGACTGGAGTTGACTGGAATCAACTGCGTCAACTGGAACTAACTGAGTCAACCACAGTCGACTAGAACTAACTGGGTCAACTGGAACCAACTGAGTCAACCGGAACCAGCTGGGTTAACTGGAGTCAGCAAATCATCCCAAAAATTCACCCCTCTGGAGTCCCCCGGAGCCAACCGCAAATCTGACACCGACTGGCACTCGGGGGGCTGGGAATGCCCATCCCAGAGTCGGGAATGTCGATCCCAGTCCCAGGAATGCCGATCCCAGAGTCGGGAATGGCACTCCGGGAGCTGGGAATGCCAAACTGGGATGATGGAATGGCTGGGAATGGCATTCTGGGAGCTGGGAATGCTGAGCTGGGAACGCCTCTCCCATGCCCAGGGACAGCACTCCCATCTCAGGAATGCCATTCTGGCCATTCCCATCCCCAGGAACACCATTCCCATGTTCCCATCCCAGGAATGCTGTTCCCACATTCCCACTCTCCCGGACTGCCGTTCCCACCCTGGAATGCTGATCCCACCCTGGACGTCCATTCCCACTATCCCAGAACGCCATTCCCAATCTCCCAGACTGCCATTCCCACGTTCCCATCCCAGGAATGCTGTTCCCACTATCCCACTATCCCAGAATGCTGTTCCCAAGTTCCCATCCCAGGAATGCCGTTCCCATGTTCCCACTATCCCAGGACTGCCATTCCCGCTATCCCGGTATGCCGTTCCCACGTTGCCATCCCTGGACTGCTGTTCCCGTGTTCCCATCCCAGGAATGCTGCTCCCATCCCAGGACTGCCATTCCCACTCTCCCTGGACTGCCGTTCCCACATTCCCACTCTCCAGGAATGCCATTCCCACATTCCCACTCTCCCAGGAATGCCGTTCCCACATTCCCACATTCCCACCCTCCCAGGAATGCTGTTCCCACATTCCCACATTCCCACTCTCCCAGGAATGCCGTTCCCACATTCCCACATTCCCACTATCCCAGGAATGCCATTCCCACATTCCCACATTCCCAATCTCCCAGGAATGCCATTCCCACATTCCCAATCTCCCAGGAATGCCATTCCCACATCCCCACATTCCCACTCTCCCAGGAATGCCGTTCCCACATTCCCACTCTCCCAGGAACGCCGTTCCCACATTCCCAATATCCCAGGAATGCCATTCCCACATTCCCACTCTCCAGGAACGCCGTTCCCACATTCCCACTCTCCCAGGAATGCCGTTCCCACATTCCCACATTCCCACTCTCCCAGGAATGCTGTTCCCACATTCCCACTCTCCCAGGAATGCCATTCCCACATTTCCACATTCCCACTCTCCCAGGAATACCGTTCCCACATTCCCACATTCCCACTCTCCCAGGAACACCATTCCCACATTCCCACTCTCCCAGGAACACCGTTCCCATTCCCCCCTCACCGTCCAGGTCGTCGGTCTCGTCGGCCCAGCTGACGGGTTTGGGGATGAAGGTGGGGCCGCCCCCGCCCCCCCCGTCCTCGGCCAGGAAATCCGTCAGGGTCAGGGTCTTGCCCTTCTTGGGCTTCTTCTTCGCCGCCGCTGCCAACAGGAACGGGGTTAGACATGGAATGGGAATGGGAATGGGAACGGGAACGGGGGTTAGACATGGAATGGGAATGGGAACGGGAATGGGGTTAGAGATGGAATGGGAATGGGAACGGGGGTTAGACATGGAATGGGAATGGGAACGGGGGTTAGACATGGAATGGGAATGGGAACAGGAACGGGAACGGGGGTTAGAGATGTGGGAATGGGAATGGGAACAGGGGTTAGAGATGGAATGGGAATGGGAATGGGAACAGGGGTTAGACATGGAATGGGAATAGGAATGGGAGCGGGAATGGGGGTTAGAGATGTGGGAATGGGAACGGGAATGGGGGTTAGAGATGTGGGAATGGGAATGGGGGTTAGAGATGTGGGAATGGGAATGGGAACAGCAGTTAGAGACCAGGGAATGGGAACGGGAATGACCATCAGAGACCAGGGAATGGGGGTTAGAAACATGGAAATGGGAATGGGAACAGCAGTTAGAGACATGGGAATAGGAAGGGAATGGGAGAGGAGTCAGACTGGGAATGGGATCTGAGAGGGAATGGGAGAGGGGTCAGGCAGGGAATGGGAATGGGATTGGAGAGGGAACAGAGAAGGGACGGGAGAGGGAATGGGGGGAATAAGAACAGGGATGGGAGGAGGGTGGGGACATGGAGGGGACTGGGACACTGGGATGGGACACTGGGATGGGACAGAGAACACTGGGATTGGGACTGGGGACACTGGGATTGGGACTGGGGACACTGGGATGGGACACTGGGATGGGACTGGGGTGCCAAGAGGGGACACAGAGCACTGTGACAAGACACGAGGTGGGACAGGAGGGGACAGGAGAGGGGACAGGAGAGGACAGGAGGGGACAGGAGAGGGGACACAGGCACTGGGAGGGGACAGGAGGGGACAGGAGGCACCACCACCAACCCTGCCCCGTTCCACTTCATCCCCTATTCCCACCGGGAATCCCCCCCTAATCCCAATCCCAATCCCATCCCGGGAGGAGGGGCGGCTCCCGCTCCACAATTCCCGAGGATTCCTCCACAATTCCCGAGGATTCCTCCACAATTCCCGAGGTTTCCTCCACAATTCCCGAGGTTTCC